TGGCGGGTTGGGGGTGGAGGTGGGAGGGGAGGAATGGTGACGGAAAATAAACTAATTCATTAATTAAAAAATGAAGATCGAAGCTTGGCATCTGAACATTTAAATGAATAAATAACATTATGCAGGCCGTGCATGCTCCCTTAACATTCTTAAAAGGGCCCAATTTCCACTAATATTTTTCTTCTTTTACTAATTTTCTTCTCCTTTCCGGGTGTTTTCATTCCTGGTTGAACATTAGAATCACCTAGGAAGATTTAAAAACAAAAAAAACAAAAACCAACACCTGGGCCTCCTCCAGACCATCTGAGTCAACATCTCCAGGGTGGGGCCTGGGCATCAGTACTTTTAAATAATTTCCTCACGCAGCTCCAGGTGGCCAAGTTTGAAACCCGGTGCCCCAAATCGGAACTGAATTTGTTGAGATTGCTGCGCAGTCCACACAGACGTAAACGTGTTTCCTTCTTTAGGAGCCGATAGAGGTCATATGATGGGGCTTTGGGGTCATCACTGGTAGCTCCAGGAATAGTGTGGGTGACAGGTTGGGGTGGTGGGCGCTAAGAGAATGTCCAAAGCTGTTTACAAAGCAAGACCCTGCTCTGACTTTGCTTGCATGTCTTTGAGGGTGCTGGGGCTTGAGGGGTGCTGATGGAGGTTGGTGGGTTTGGGCACGTTAAGCCAGGGCTGAGATGCTTCTCTTCACACCCAGAGTCACACTAACTAGGACCTCTTCCCTGGCTGTGTGGCCTTGGGCAAGTCATTCAGTCTCTCGGCTCCCCAGCTCCTCAGTTGCCTGCGACAAACAAGGACACTTAGTGTCTAATGCATTTCCTTATATCCGGCACCAGGCAGATGCTAATTTCAGGGCTTCAGGCAGAGAGAGCGGCTTGGATCCTGGGCTGTCACAACCTCCACAAGCCACCACTTCACCAGCTTCCCAGGGATGGCCCAGCCCAGGGAAATAAAGTTACGACTCATTGGCCCCGAGTCCCTCTCACTGCCCTGAACTGAACTGTGGTCTGTTCTATGATGAGCTTCCAGAGGTCCTTCTGCTCTTTTCGTCTACAAGCAGGCAGAGGGCCCCCTTGTCTCCTGTTTCTTGCCTCTGCCCCCAGCCCTGTCCCCCTGACCCCTGCTACCCACTGTGGGAGTGGAGGGGCCCTTCTGAGCCCCACCTGGTTCTGGCGTTGGTGGAGGTTCAGCTCCCTGGTGTCCCCCTGACACCCCCAAGACCAGACTTTCTGAAGCGGCAGGAAGGCAGAGGAGAGAGGAGAGGCGTAAACAAGGCTTTCCCAGGAAGGGGTTTCTCAGACACCGCTCTCCTCCCTCAGAAAGCTCCTCTCCACCTTCCCCTGCCACCAACCCCCGAGTCCAAGGCAGATGGGGCCCAGAGGCTGTGATTCTGAGCTCCTCCCAGCTGCAGGGAAACGACGCACACGCTTGTGTTGGAGCCCTGTTGAAAGTCAAGTTAAACATGGTGAAGACAGAGCTCATTTATCTTTCCTTCCCGTCTTCCCATCTGTTTCACTTCCTCTTGTTCATGGCTAAAGAGGGGGCCGCTGAAACTCTGGAAAAGAAACACTTGCCCGCGGGATCCCGTGTCACATGGCTAGTCATTTGTCAAATGCTGCTACTTCCTACGAAAACGCTCCCTCCCTCAGGCTTTTCCAAACCCTTCGCTAGTACGGGGAGCTCTGTCCAAACTCAGGTGATCTTCTGACCAGAGTGTCCTGATCTTTTCACTTCATTCATTTATTCATTCAATAATTCATTCATTTATTCACCAGGCAATTATCAGTTATTTTGCGGAAGAGTCGTTGGTGCTCCGGCCTTTGTTTGGAGACTCCAACAATGAGACGACGCAATTCCAGCATTCCGCTTTGCTTATGGCCTAGATGGTGACACTCGAAGACAAATTATTACAATGCAATGCCAGGGGGAGGGAGGAGGGGGCGGTGGAGGCAGTGTGGGGGGTA